CCCCAAAACCCCAAAACCCCAAAACCCCACTTGAACAATTTAAAGATGAAGCATGTGATTAAAATATATGGAAAATAATATTTTACAATATAATTCAAAAGTGAATTACTTTGTCTCACCTTTAAGATTATTCTCATGAGTTAATAGTAATAATTCCAGTGATCAAAAATAATGCAAGATACAGCCTTTTTATGAAACAAAAGTATTGAGCTTAAGAAATCTTGAGTTGAAATTTATTTGAGTAAGTATCAGGGTTATACACAAATATGAATCTCGAAGAACTATTTCCAGGTATTTTTACTAAAGAAGCTTAGTCCCAAGTTTATGACAACTAATCGATTGACTGGATAGCAAATTCTTAATCTATAGTTAAATTAGTACTCAGCTTTTATTGATTAAGTGCTGCAAATGTAGCCATTTCTGTTCCATTTAAGTATTCATTGTAGAAATTTGAGTAGAATTCCAAGTTTCCCTAAATCTAATCTATTTTCATGCACCCTGGAATAGACTTATCAACAATGTAATTGTTTATCACTAAAAGACACCATTATTTGGCATTAACTTGGTATCTATTTTTCCTAATCATCCCAATATTGTCATCTTCAAGATTAAAGTCTGAAATGTGACTAGTACAATTGTTATCATTTCGCTACCAAAATAAGGGGCATTCATATATTTTATTCGCAATTGTAATTTCTGTTTATTAATCTTAAATAATGCAATCAGTAGTCGCGTTAGTAATACACTTGTTGTCACAATATTTGTGTCCATGAGAAATACAATTCAAGCAGTCTTGGTTATATACAGAAATAATATCACCCTTGGTTGATATTAGTATCATTAGACTTAAACAAATTAAGGCTTGTAGAGTTTGACTTGAAACACTGTATCTGAAATAATCTTGCAAATTATCTAATTTTCTGGCAAGTTTCATTATAGAATTTTAACTTTATTATTAGTTATTATTTCAATCTGAGAAATTCAAACTTAAATTACATTGTGGGGTTTTGGGGTTTTGGGGTTTTGGGG